TGCCGCGCACTTCCATCGGCTTGAGCCGATAGTCCCCCTAAGAAGCCAGCGGCCCGCAAACGCGGACCGGGCTATTTAAGGGCCGAGGTCTCGTTCGTTATCGCAATTAAGCAGACAAATCACTCCACCAACTAAGAACGGCCATGCACCACCATCCAAAAGATCAAGAAAGAGCTCTCAATCTGTCAATCCTTATTTTGTCTGGACCTGGTGAGTTTCCCCGTGTTGAGTCAAATTAAGCCCAGGCTCCACGCCTTGTGGTGCCCTTCCGTCAATTTCTTTAAGTTTCAGCCTTGCGACCATACTCCCCCCAGAACCCAAAAACTTTGATTTCTCGTAAGGTGCCGAACGGGTCATAATAGAAACACCGTCCGATCCCTAGTCGGCATAGTTTATGGTTAAGACTACGACGGTATCTGATCGTCTTCGATCCCCTAACTTTCGTTCCCTGATTAATGAAAACATCCTTGGCGAATGCTTTCGCAGTAGTTAGTCTTCAGCAAATCCAAGAATTTCACCTCTGACAGCTGAATACTGACGCCCCCGACTATCCCTATTAATCATTACGGCGGTCCTAGAAACCAACAAAATAGAACCGCACGTCCTATTCTATTATTCCATGCTAATGTATTCGAGCAAAGGCCTGCTTTGAACACTCTAATTTTTTCACAGTAAAAGTCCTGGTTCCCCCACGGCCAGTGAAGGCCATGGGGTTCCCCAGAAGGAAAGGTCCAGCCGGACCAGTACTCGCGGTGAGGCGGACCGGCCAGCCAGACCCAAGGTTCAACTACGAGCTTTTTAACTGCAACAACTTTAATATACGCTATTGGAGCTGGAATTACCGCGGCTGCTGGCACCAGACTTGCCCTCCAATTGTTCCTCGTTAAGGGATTTAGATTGTACTCATTCCAATTACGAGACCCAAAAGAGCCCCGTATCAGTATTTATTGTCACTACCTCCCCGTGTCGGGATTGGGTAATTTGCGCGCCTGCTGCCTTCCTTGGATGTGGTAGCCGTTTCTCAGGCTCCCTCTCCGGAATCGAACCCTAATTCCCCGTTACCCGTTGCCACCATGGTAGGCCACTATCCTACCATCGAAAGTTGATAGGGCAGAAATTTGAATGAACCATCGCCGGCGCAAGGCCATGCGATTCGTTAAGTTATTATGATTCACCAAGGAGCCCCGAAGGGCATTGGTTTTTATCTAATAAATACACCCCTTCCGAAGTCGAGGTTTTCAGCATGTATTAGCTCTAGAATTACCACAGGTATCCATGTAGTAAGGTACTATCAAATAAACGATAACTGATTTAATGAGCCATTCGCAGTTTCACAGTATAGTTTGCTTATACTTAGACATGCATGGCTTAATCTTTGAGACAAGCATATGACTACTGGCAGAATCAACCAGAGATCTATTATATATAGCAACCCCCATAATACAAATGCGGCCCAGAGGCCGATTTCTAGTAAGGGGAAGCCCAGCGCTCCCGGGGAGCAGGGTGTATATATGTAGATATTCCGGAAGGGGCGAAACGAGCGCCCGGCCACAGCGACACCGCCGGCGCACCGGCGGCACACATGCGACCATCCAATTGCCCACACTGTGTAGCCCTCCAGGTACCGGTCCGCACGCAGGTGAACCCCGTCAGATCGCCCTCGCGGGCGCTGGCGGGCTGCGGCATACGGCCCTCGGATGAGGGTCCGGACCCCGCGGACACGCCGACGAACGGCGGCTCCCGCGGGGCGGCTCCCCAGGTGTCTATGTTTCGGGACTGGCTAGCAGCCAACGATCCACAGACCCCGTCGGTGCCCGGGACCAGAACGGCCCCGGGACTTCAGACACCACTAACCATGGGCCAACCTCGGGCATATTTAAGCCGGCGGTCGCCAGGGCCCGTGGGTAGCACAACGCACACTGCGAGCTCTCGGGGACACGGGCGTACCCAGAAACTGGGATACTCCTATCACCGTTGAGGCAGAGGGAGAGATGCTTCCAGGGGCGCGAGGCGAACCAACCGACCGCGCAAGGGAGAGCTGCGGCTGCGGTGGGCGGACGCCCCCGTTTCTCAAGCGAGGCCCAACTAAGGGGACCTGTGCGCCACGAGACACAGAGAGGCGGCCTGCCTGGCAGGGAAGTCGTGGGAGGGATGGGTCCAGCGGCGCCGGGCTTGTTTCCAAACCTGGCTTGCGTCGCCCGCCCTTTCCACATAGTACCACCGACGTCGATTGGGTTCGAACTGCACGCGCAAACGTTCCGGTGCCCGAAAGGGACTGGGGGGGGACGGTTTTTGTATGGAGTGGTCCGTGCGTCGGCCGCTTTTCCCATACAAAGTGGGCCACCCAGATTCACCCTCTACCGGGGCCGATAGGGGACTTGGCCGTTTTTGCCCACTCCATCCTCCAGCCTTTCCCTCCTCCCCCTTCTGTCGTTGATTAAATGGACTTGTTACGTCTAGGTCCCTGGTCCGGCGTGGTCTATATATACGCACACCCCCG